CGCACGCACAGTAGATATTCGCTGTTTTGGTTTCACCGTAACTAGTTCCGAACCTGTAAGTTTTGTGTTTTGGTTTTTCTTGAGAATGGTTCCATAACCATTCTCGAACAGTAACTTCGGTTTTGGACCAAATGCGAGAACTGTTTCAGAATTGATAGGTTTTTAAGCCTACCCCTCCTTGACCATACCTATCATCATATTCACTGTAGTTGTCCGGTCGTAGAATAGGCTACTCAGCACACAGCTGTGTCGTAAAAGGCAAAATAAGTGTCTTTACTTTGTTGCTGTCTAGTATGGATCTAGATAGTAATTTGTCTTCACTATATCTTTATCACTTTTCTATAACTCTCTCTTTCCTTCTTCCTTTCTAAGTTACCCTTTTTTCGACTAGGGGCCATGGTCTACTCACGTCTTTTTACTTCAAGTTATCTGGCCTAGTATGGGTCTAGAGTCATTGCCCTTCATTCTACTCTTCAAATTCCGATGTTCAATAATTTCCCTAAGCCAAATATACTTAGGTTTCTTAGGACCTCTATATGGTTCATATCCTTTGAAGCCTAGTATTTCCCTTTCCCTCTATTTCATTATTATATAATTTTTAGTTTTGGTTTGATGATAAGTCTGGTCTAACCCGAGTTGACTCCAGAACCACTCGAACGCTCTTTCTACTTGTCATATTGTTTTGTGTCAGTCTGTCTATGTCTGCTGTCAATTGTCAAATCTAGGTATACTTGTTAGCTATTGTACGTTGTACCGGGAAAAATGTATTATTTTTACAATTTGTATAATTCTTTATTAATGTTACAATTTTAACGTGACATATTGGGAGTTCGGTACCTTTACCGCACCTAAATGTTTTCTAATTGTATTTGTTGGCAACAATTCTATGTTTAATATAATTAACTCCATTTGGAAGGTATCATAGACGTAAGTCTTTTAGGACGGCTCTGAAGATGGCTTTGTTAAGCCGAAAGCCCTCAGCCTAATTTTTAATAAAAATTTTAAATTTTTTACACACTTTTGTATCTATTCATTTTACTTTTTTATTTAATTGCCAACTTTTTGATAATTTAATTTAATCGTCTAGACAACTTACAGTTTTTATATCAAACAAATGCGAATTAAAAATAATCGTCCTTGTAAGTTTTTTAATAAAAATGGATTATGCAGCTTATTTACATTTAATTTAGTTAATAAAAAAGAATGAAAAAAATATTAATGTTACGTCATTATCATATTTATCTATTTAAAGACCCCTTGCCTAGCAATAAACCAAATCTGGTTCAATTCCATTAATTTCGCACGTTAAGAATGCGTGATATTTAAATTAAGCTAATACTTTGATAACCTTTGTGTATTTTAAATTTAACTATAGCTTCTGATCTTTTGCATTGTTTTCGAGCATGCATCACGAGAGTGGTAACAATGTATGAATAATATGGAAGATAAAATTGCGATTGGTACCGTTAATACAAGAAAATTGAAAAATATTTGAACAGAGGCGAAAAATTAATTTAAATGTAATGTTACCCTCCCCCTTCGCTTTTTGTTTTGTAAAAAGCATAACTTTTGTTACCTCTCCCCCTCCCCTTGAGATATTCAAAGTATTTTTTTTATTCTTGCTTTATTTTCTCTAGTAATTTGTAAATGGAATAATACAAAAAATATATTTAACTTAATTTATTTTATTCTAAAACAAAATAGCGGATACAATTTTTATTTATTGGAGAATGAGAAATTATATTTCTCAACGGGACCTCACATGTGTCACGCAAATAAGTTGAGGATATACAGCAGACGTCCTCAGAACTGTACAGTCTTAAATAATGTCATGAAATTCCTTAGCCGACCCTGTCTAAAGCATCGACCTTCACGTCTGTGGCACCTGACTCATGCTCGAAATGACCGAATATTCTAGGAATGCCGCTGCCTCTCGAGAAACGATTAGAACGGGCGGAGCGTACCGTTGAGTCAGAGATGGAATTTTCGGGAGCGTCTAGATACTTCTCGTAGCAGAGTTGGACTTGGTATAAATAGCCCGACTCATCGTCGGGCAGTTTAGTCAGTGTCTAAGTATTATATAAATTAATTAGTACGTCTGAAAAAAATTGTAAATAGTGTGTTTTAAATAAATAAACTATAAATAATTTAGACTATCGTTACAATAATGTTTTGGTTCGTCTTTTCTTTTTTTAAATAGATGACCTTACTGAGATACATGCATTGCAATAACAGACGGATATTTGGGGAGCTTGAACATAGTGCCAGATCATGTATCAGCGAATTACCCCTTATTTTTAGAGCTAACTACGGTGTGAAAATTGAGAGATAATTAGCTAAGACAGTCCAACCCTATAATAACATCAACCATATTTATATATTATGTGAATCTACCCAACCAAAACAAGCATTCACCCTAATCAAATGAGCTGTTAATTTATTAGCTAGTGCATAGTGATGACCAACGGAAACAGAGTCAATTCGTCAGTTGGTTAACTTACTGTGTTGATTTTCACATATAGTTTATGGTTCAAACCTAGTAAAATGGGTGCCCCCCTTGAGCTAACTAACAGTGTCAATTCACCAGTTGTTTAACTTGCATTTAGGTTTAGGTTTACATAATTTATCCAAGATGTATTGAAAATACAGACATTAGGTTCGTCCTAACTAGACATTATGTACTAATTTTATCTAGCGTTGTGATGGCGTCGATTTGGGTACGTCGCAGCGTTGAGCGTCACCTTGCGTCGAGACGTGGCGGAGAGGAAGGTTTTTATTTCGGTACTGCGTCGGGACAGATATACGGTAGGAAATACTTAGGTGGTGCTGCTGCCCGACGAAGGGTTTCGACACGGCTATTATGAAGGAAATATTTAGGGACGAGAAGTTGAGCGGTGGGACGGATATCCCTTAGGTGAGCCTGAACATAGGCCAGATCCTGTATCAGCAGATTACCCCTTATGTTCAGAGCTAACTACGGTTATGTTGTTTGATACGGGAAGAGTTGCTTGTGTGGGAATATTTAGCTGGAATGTCGGATCAGAGAAGCGTCGAATAGGAGAAGCGTCGGCTAGAAAAAGTGTCAATTTGGAGAGGCGTCGAATTGGAGAATTACTGAATTTGGAATATAATCGAATCGAACTAAATTTTAAATATTAATGCTAATGAGTTCTCTGGGATTGGGTTTAGTAATTTTCATCAAAATATCTTCATTGTTATTACTTTATGAAAATAATTATGTTGAATGAAGGTTTTGAGTCGAATTCCCATGAGATAATTTTTATCTTATCTGGTTATTGGGCATGTACATGTAAAGTTCTCTCTTTTCATTTATTATTTCCATTCTAAATACTTTTAAAATCATTTATTGTACTATTTATATTGTTATGTATGTATACCAAATAATCTTGAAAATTGTAGCCTTCATAATATACCATTTCTTAACAGTGAAAACAACTGCAAACAACGTGACACCGATAGTTGCATAATAAAAACTTATCACTTATCAAGAATCATGCAACTTACAGTAATTATTATTTACGTTGTGTTTATCTTTTAAATAAACGAATTTTCATGATGAATGCAATATTGATATAAATATATATTAGCTCGTTAAAAGAACATGACGTTTTTTTTTTAAATTTGTATTTCAAAAATTTCATGAAACAAACTGGAAAATTAAAACATGGAACCCCTTTTTAACTAAAAAAATAATAAACCTACATGTTTTTGTCTTAGTAAATAAACAGAATTTTAAAAATTATTTGAAAACGTAATTAAAATGTAAAGAATGTGAGAATAGTATCATAAAAAAGGTGAAATAAGTTTGTTATAAGCAATCGTATTATTTATATGGAACTGCCGTGTTTATATGACAACTTGAACATTTTTTGCTATTTATTTGCATAAGATGACGGGCATACACTATACACTACTTTCCACATCACCGGAAAATATGTGAGAGTCAGTGAGACGTTTCATTTCTATTTTGATCTGTGTAATGTTCCTATTATCCTAGATATTTATTTTTATCAATTAATAAAATAGTTTTAAAGTAACTACATTATTTTTGGATTTTTTCTTAATACACATATTTGATTAGATAATTTATTTGATATAAGGCTTCATGGCCCAGAGCGTAAAGTGTTCAACTTTATCAACTTTGAATTACGCAAAGCGGGTTCAATCAAAAGCAGTCTTTTTTTTATTTTGGAAAAAATGAAAATTGAAAAAATAAGTCTATCTTTGTTTATTTATTTTAAATTAATTTTATTTATCATAATATCATCCCTACGGTAACATTACATGTGAAACTAGGAAAATCCGCCGCAGAAACGTAAGATTTATTGAAAAGTAAGGTTATGGAGATGATAGTTTATTACCTAATCAGGTTTTTTGAGTGGTCAATGAGAGACGAGAAGTGATCGTAGACGATCTTGAACTTCAAAAACAGAAAAAACATTAAAAAGATTGTTCGTTGATCTGAAAGTATTTGGGCTGTTGCTCAATACACAGGAATCGAAAAAAAAAAAGTGTTAGGCAGATTTTAACAAAACAGAGTCATGGTTTCTTCATTAGAACAAATATGCAGCCCACACTGTACTCTCTGCCTGTCAAAAAATTTTTGGCCAAGTATTTAGATCTAGCCTATTCACCGAATGTCGCCTCATGTGATTTTTTTATTTTATCCACTGAATCAAACCATTATTTGAGACCACGAGACACTAGAGTTGTCAAAGAAAGAAAAAGTGATAGAGATCATGAATATGCTTTCAATAAATGATTAAAGTACTGCTATGGTCAATGGAAAATTCGGATGGAGTGGTGTAGGGAAGTTTATTGAAGACGACAATGTTAACATTGTGAAAGAAAAGCAATAATCGATTTTTTTAGCACTAATCCGATTTCTTTTTTAGAAACACCTCGTATGTATATTTAAAAATTGGTTATTTAAACTATAAATAAGAACGACATTTTCTTCTACACGTTTATTTTTTTTATGCATGCACAAATAACGTCTACTGACTAAAAACTATATTCGAAAAGCTTTACAATTTTTAAGCAAAAAATAATATTATTCGACTGTTCTTTAAAAACTATCTAAGCATCCCGTTGCTAAATTTTTAAAACTTCTGGCGGAATAATAAAATGATTACCGATCCTTTTTTTTTTGTATATATAAATATTTTTGCAAGTTTTTTTTTGTTTTTTTCGATTTTTTATTTAAGCAAATTATAAGCATTTATATTGCGCAATATTAATGATCTTGAAATGTTTACTCCAGTTCATCTCGGCTGAGACGGAATCTTGCAAAATCTTCGAAGACGATGTTGTCATCGTCATCATTTGCGAAGCTCTGCTCATATCTTCCTTTGTCGATTGATTTCATCTTCCTCAGATTTTGGGCCCTTTCCTTGTCCATAGCACCGGGAGCTGGATGGAGGAGTTTGAATGGAACATCGGTTACAAGTTCCCCTCCCAGTGTACCACAGTTCAGTTTTACTCTCAAGGAGTATGATATCACAATACCTGTTGAAATAAATTAAATATTTGATTCGCTTTGAACAAAATAAGTTTATAATTTAGCAATTTATACATTCTACAAAAGGTTGCCTGTATTTTAGTTATAGAATCGAGAATTTAGTGAATATAACTAAACAAAAGTAATATGTTAAGAAAAAAAATTATAATGCAAGTCATTATGATACAACTGAAATGACTGGGACACGTTGAACATTTATGACAAAAACAAAAATGTCCTAACAATAGGTGAATAAGATATTTATATAAAATTTAGTCGTACCAATAGCGTCGATTGGACATTTTCCATCTGGCACCAAAGTAGAGCTGGCCAGATTTGCGTCGTCATCTCGTAAACGACCATCTAAGGCAACACCCCTGCGATCTTTGTTGCTGGATGCTAGTGGTACCAAATATACCACTTTGGTGAAGCTAGCACCAGGTGTTATTGGACAGCCCTCGCGAGTTTCCAAGCTGGCTACGTATTTGGAGAATTGAGCATTCACCATAGTCACCTAAAGATATAAAAATAAATGTAAAATAATCTATATTGGTCGTGTTAACTTTTTAAAATAACCAATCTTATTCTCGATACAAGACATGTTTCCAGAAGAAATTGAAACACTGTAGATTGGTTTACATTCACTCTTTAGTTGCTAAAAAATACTTTGATTTGTATTAAAATATTTACCTCACAATGCTGCACCACATAGACCTTGATATTTCTTACTTGCTTCCTGGAATTATTACCAATCATAATATTAGCACCAATTTTCTCTCCATGGTAATAAATATCCTTATCGAGGGTAACTTCCAAGTTGATTTTACCGCTGGAGAAAGTGAATCCCTTGGACACCAAGGAGCTTGGAAGGCGGCTAGCACCCTTGACGATAGGAGCGAATTGCAATTTTTTGATTGCCAGCTGGACGGTGCTACGTTTGTGGCCTTTGTCTTCTTCGTTGGAGCCAACGTAGCATTTTACGTAGTATTCTACACCAAGGGGTTTACCTTGGTCATCCTCGCCTGCAATTTTAAACAAATGGTTTTATTCTAACATAGTCGAAAGAGTATGATACTGAAGTATCAGCAGAGCATGGGAATTAATTGAATCGGTGAATATGTCGTAGTCACATAAAATGGAATTTTCTTTCACATAAAGTATACGTAAATAATTTAACTTTGAAGGTATTGATTATAAAATAATAAATATAGTTCTATTATGAAATTAATAAAAAATGAACTAAATGTTAAATATAAATAGAAAGGAAACAAAATAAATCATCAAGCCCCGTATTCAGTAGAACAAACCAAGTGATAAATTTCCGCCGTCTAAAAACAAGTCAGTAATTTTCTCAACGCTTGGGAATTTTAAATGCGAGAACGCATTAGACAATCGCGGTCTTTGCTAGTCTCGAGCGAGCGCGGTCTCGAGATTCTATTAAAAAATAGGAGAACGCCATGCAAGCGAGAACACCAAGTGGAAATGCATGCGTTATAAGAATAGCACAGCCCGCGACGAGACCGCAATTGCCTAATGCGTTTTCACCTTTACAATGTTCAAGTTTTTTTTGTATTTCAGAATCTTTGGTTGTAAAAACCAGTGGGGTAGCTGGTTGAGATATAAAGTTGTAATTTGTTTTGTAGTTGCGGAGATTTTTGCACTTTGTCGTTTGTATGGTATTTAGAGAGTATGTAATTCATTTTGTATTATATTATTTTGAATTTGCGGACGGTAAATAATATTTATTAGCAATGACACTTTTTAGGCTATGAAAACCCATACGATGTTTAGAATATAAAATGTTTTATAATATAATTCGGTACGCCTTGAAAGCAAATCGGTTGATAAAGTTTTTGTTACTCATATTGTTTATGTTTCTCATCGCAAGAGAAAGTGACAGATTTTTTTTTGAGACGAAACATTTTCTGTATATTTGTCTTATTTTTTATCTAGGTATTTGTAGAAAAAATGAAGGTTATATACACACACACACGCCGATCGTTTTCATTCATTCAATATGGTTTCTTTTTGTCCTAAATACTTGACTCTTAGTAATAATAAGGTTTCGTTTCTATTAAATGATTATTGTTTGTTATTTAAGTCAATCAATTCCAATCAGAGGAAACCTTGAATATGCTAACATATTATTTTCTTTTCGAAGAATGTATGTACACTCGTAAATATTCTAATATGGATTAATGAACATTGAAAAAATATTTCTAACCAAAGTTTTGGGGTTAGCAGAATCAGTTAGTTTTTTGTACGATTTAAAAATATCCAATGTGATAGATATTTTTAAATAGTTAATAGAAACTGTGCACCGATAAGGTTTTGCGATTAGCTGATAATATAAAATGCCTCCTTCAATAATTGATTTTTTTATCTCAAGTTATCATTCTCAGACAACTTAATTCAGCTTGTCTGGCTTTAATTAGCCTATTATAAAATAAATGCATTTTAATAAATTAATATATAAATACTTTATTACGAAATCTGGTGAGACAATTTTCCTTGTGATATTTATTTAGTTTTTAGAATTAAAGGTTATCTACCGTTATTCATGTAAGGAAATCTAAACGCGGACCATCTAGTTTACAATGAAGGTGTAATAGGGCTACGCGTGAAACAAAGACCCCTGAGCAACGCGAAGCGTCTGGTGTACGCTAGGTACGCCTCCCACTTACGCTCGTCTCTAATAGATTTGGCTTAGATGATCCGCGTTTTAATTTACGTACCCGTATATACGATTTAAATATAAACGTAAACATCCAGGAAAAATTTAATGATCGAATATTTCGCTGCAGGTTCCATACTCGTATCACATGTGACCAAATTGATGTTACAAGTTACAAGCTAAAACTTAAATAGCTCCAAAACAATGCAACTGGCTTATTTGACAGAACTGACATTTAATTTGTGTCAAAAGTAGAAGTGGCAACGATATATCGATGTTTTGAAAATATCGATATATTTCACAAATATATCGATATATTTTAATCGATATTTTACTACCGATATATCGAAGAAATATCGATATAATCCTTTCGATATATCGAAAACATTATTTATAAAACGTGCGCTCGTGCGTAAGCAACGGTTGACAGCTTACAAGTCAGGCGTGCAAGTAGCTCTTTGTTTTATTTTTTATGTTTGGTTTGCATATTTTTAGTTTTATTTTCGGTGTCCAGAGTGGTTAATAGAAATATTTTTATGCAGTAGTAACTTCTGTTTCAAGTGAAGACTATTTTCGAAAGCTGGTTTGACAGCAACAGAAAGCCAAAACCGTTTATCTGGAAAGAGATTGTCAAATTTATTATTTTCGAGTTCTCTTCTCAGAAAGCTTTCAAATAATGTATCATAATCACTTTTAATAAATATTTAAGTTTGAGTAAGTTTGGTTTGTCTCTATATTAAAAAAAATGTATTGTGTTTTATTACTTATCTGAATAAAAAAATCGCATTATAACTATTAAAAAATGTATTTTTGTACATTTCATTAAAAATGTATCGATATATTATTTCGATATATCATATGATTCGATATATTTTTTATTTTACCATCCCTACAAAAGTGGCTGAAAAGGACCATTTCCATTCAATATCTCATTTTACCAGATCACGAGGGATACCGGTACATATTGTTTGTAAAAAGGTTTTAATACCTAAGGATTTTTAGAACTATTAACACCCAAAAAACAAACAAAATTATTATATTGATTTTTGTAATCACCCTGTATAATTAAAATTAATTTAGCAATGCAGAGCGAGATTCAGAAAAGTTGATTACTATTTACATATTTGGAAAAGTGAAAATTATTTGACCAGTATATGTTAGTCGTTAAATGAATGCTAATGTGTTAAATTAATCTTACGAAGTCTCAAATTGCAATTGATTCTTCTATAAAATAGTCACTAATCTAATTTGTCACAAATATATGCAGTTGACGAAATTGTATTTAATTTTTTAACGCACCTTTCTTTACTACTTTGAATAGAGAAATCACGACAAGAAATAATATAATTAAATCATATTTTACCTGGCTGTAAAGTAACGGAGCAGGGGGACATATCGGGGAAGTAGAACGTGAAGGGATGGGCATTTGGTCCCAGTTTATTGATGAGTTTCTCTTGAACAGGAGTCAATGGTTCCTTTTCTTTCTTCGTTGGTACTAGCTGGTCAGTAGCTAAGACCATTTCCTTACTGAATTTGACTCCCATGACTTCATCCTCTTCTCTACCATACCGGTAGACGGTGAGGACCTATACGAAAAATTATTACAAAATTTGCTTTTTATTTCATGTTAGCGATTTTGGCATGTACTTGCAATAATATGCGACACACTTTCAGAGTTTTATCTTTCTCGTATACAAACACATTCTACTATCTAATCTAACCATGCAATTAACGATTTACCGAAACGAATGTATTTTCTTTTTGCTTCCGTCACGATCGCGTTAGTTTTAAACATGTATTTTATCAATTTGACGTTTCTTTTCTAACTATGAAATTACAATTTTAAATGGAAAAGATATAATATTCTTGGTCATTAGGTTTGAACACTAGTGTGCCTGGAAGCACGATAAGGGGAGAAAAGAAACAATTTTCCTCAATGTGTTAGAATACGTTACTATGGAGAACGAAAACATACTGAATGTAGAATTGAAGAACAAACAAATAGTGTTGATACAAGTTTATTGCGTCTTATGAACTATTGTTGATTGAAAATATTAGACGACTACTTTGCAAAAAAACCAAATGTATTTTTAAACCTTATTTTTTAAGTCAATGCCCTAATTCTAATAGGACATATCCCGCATTATTTGGAAATTGCGTTTTCTATCATATCGTAACATATACGAGTATTTTACCAATAAATGATTTTTAAGCATACTCTAATATGTCGTATCTGAAACATCTATTTAGTATTGATAATAATTTTTCCTACGACCACTTAGGAAAGTTATACCTATCGCACTATTTAGTCTTATAAGTGCCCTATATCACACGCGTGTGGATAAATCTACTTTCCACACGTGTGTGAATATGAAACTACTTTCCACGTAAGCTGTCAAATAAGTCAGACGTCTAATTTCTATTTTGATTGATGTGATGTCCATTTTATTTGTAAAATTGAATTGATGATTAATTTTTAAAAATAGATCTTAGATATTTATTTTTAACAAATTATTAAAATAATTTTAAAGTAACTACCTACATTATTTTTGCTTTTTCCTGGTTCATATACATATTTAATTAGATATATCAAATCACAAAGCTTGATAGCGTAGATGGTTTAGCGTCTAACTTTTTCCACTTGACATTTCGTGACTATTTCGTAACGCTGGTTCAATTCCCGATTAATTGTCTTTTTTTTTTGTTTTGAAAAAGTATGAAAATTGGAAAAATGCGATTATTGTTGTTTTTGTATTTAAAACACATGTTATTTTTCATAATATAACCCCTACAATATTTTGTACTATTTTAATTACTGTTCAGACAAAAATGTGATTAGAGAATTGAGTAACCATTAATAATAAAACAGTTTTTGTTCACGGTTGTTCAACTTATTTGTTAAAAAAAAACTAATGAAAAACATTAATGTATTCTAATATTTTTTGTAACTAATGTTATTTTATCTTTATCTCTCTATGAACTTGTTTGTAGGAAAATGGATATTTTTAATCATCTTGATGAAACCTTTATAGCCAGATTTCCTAGTTTTAAATTTTTTTGATAAAATTAGTTTGTGGTCGTAGGAAAAATATTGTACATCACTTTTGTGAAAATGATATTTCACATTCGTAATGTAATATACTATTTTGTTTACTTGACAACTGCATATTTGAATCTACTCTCGTTGTAGCAACAAGTAAATGTTTTGTTATAAAGAAAGTGACTTGAAAAGAAAATCATCCGTTAACAACCCTTAATGGCTAGGGTTATTGACTGGAGATTAATAATCGTCATAGATCTACTGCATCAGGTCTGTGGGTCACTGTCGTTGTAATTTTCTTGTGACGTTTAGAGGGATGTTGATAATAAAATAAACAGTTTTTATCACTTGTATAATTTTAATGTGTGATACGATATTTTTTTTACGTCTAAACCCACTTAAGTTTCTTTTCCTGGATGAAATGTGATATTGTTGAAAAGCATATAGACGCTTTGTATTGTACTTGCTGGAGCTATAGCGATGGGTTTGTTGAGGAAGCAATAATTAATGTGATACAGGTAAACAATTTAAAAACTTACAATGGCTATATCTCATGAATTAATAAAAATGATAACACAAAATGCTTAAAATCGTTTCTACGATACAAAGGGAGAACTTAAATGACTTGAGAGGTAACTCACCTCCATCAACTCCCTAACCTATATTGCAACAAAAATTTGTAGATAGAGAATACATCGGTATTTTCACTACTACCTTTTTTATGAATTAAAAAACTTATTAAAAACAATAAAACAACTTTATTTCAGACATAATTATACAAATAGGATCTTACCAAAACATACTCTTTGGATTGCGCGTCACGATACCTATTTTCGGCGTTATCTGTATAACGGTAGGACAGTAATCGGTGACAATTTTATATATGCCTTATCTATGAAATGACCGCGTAACATTCTTATTACAAATATTTTATTTTGGCACACTACACATTTCTTCACCATTCTAAATGTAATTATCAGAGATAACAGAGATATAACCATTCATTGATACAATATAATTTTCACGATGCCAAGATTAATTTGACAATCGATACACTCTATTTGTAGGGACGGGGCGAGGCGACGAAAGGTGAGAAGTAAGAGAAGGGATAAAAAGAAGAATTTTACGCACATACAATACAATAAATAAATGTGTAAGCCACTGTGCGCTTATAATAAACAACGTAAATATCCATGCCGGTGTAAGCCCTGTTGCCACTTCCAACCTAACATCACTAGGTTTTGGAATTTAGTGAAATTACATCTAATTTAGTTAAATTTAATATAACTAATGATTAAAATTTTTTTGGGTTCAGTTGTAATAAAATAGGTTGAATTGTTTTAGCTTTTTTAATATATGTAAATAATTTTGTAAACAAAACGAGAATAATGAAATAGGCATATGACAATAGCGGATATTATACCCGCCTGTGTCCCTTAGAATATGTCTTATTCAGGACCGCACGATATTTGCTAGTAGTTACATCTCCTCGGCATCTCTGGTAATTATTAAACAGTTTAATGTTCAAATTATTCTCGAAAATCTTAACAAACCACAAAGAAAACTGTCAACGAAAAATGTGAACCAGAATGGTCAATATCCACATACGATACACGTGTAAAACACGATAAATAAAAATAAAACTCGTATTGATGCTTTTAATTCTTGTTTTTTTTTATTGATAAAATAGTAACTTTTATAATAAAAAATTAATGCAGAATATTTGATGGAAGAGATCTGACTACATAGGAAGAGCATACCGTCAGAATAATGTTGCGGATTCTATCCAATATCTTTGTAGTATAGTGTATTGAATTACTAATAAAATTAGGTTTCATATGAGTTGTCACACTGAATTCCTTTTTTACACTATTTTTCCTCAACAGGGGGCTAAACTCCAAATTTGTGGTATTCCTAATAATATTTTTGCATTTTCCAAAACATTACCTTTTCTATAGTGTGTCACATGTGGTACATTCCCAATCTAAATGTTTGTTGGGGTTAATGGAGTGCAGGGAAGTTTATATATTGCCATCCTGTACATTCGATATTTTAATTAGATAATATTTTAACAAAGGCCAGACTGTTTGAACTTGAAAGGTCAATCGAAACAATTTTATCATAAATAATATAATTACATTTATCTATTATAATAAATAAATTACCTGATAAGTATTAACTTTTTTAAGGGCGACAAGAAAGTATACACTTTCTGAACAATTTTTCGTCCAGAAAGTAACGTTTTGACGATCAAGAATAGAAAGTAGCCGTTCGGGACCGGTAAAGGCTTTACCGGTCCCTCTTTTTCATTTTTCCGATCGCTGTTTGGTAATACAGTCTGCCTTGATTTCGTTACTATGGTAACGACGTTCCGATTTATTGACAGTTCGTTGATTTTTAATTTTTTGTTTATGTCAAACTTGTTTTCGCAAATTTAAAAATATTGATTCTAATTTTGAATTATCTGACATAGAAAATGAAATTCCAGAAGAAATTTTGGAAGCATCAAAAATGTACATTTAACATAAATATTCAAAAATAATATATTTGATTAGTTTATGCAGTTGTCTTCATTATCTAGTTTTAGTATTTGTTGATCACTTTATTAGACAAAATAAATCATTGAGTTTACATCGAAGTGTCGCTACCGAAAATTATTGTTAAGCAGGTCTCTCCAAGCTTCCAGGTCTCGCCTACGGCTCGCCCTGGAATCTGCTTGTCTCGACCTGCAAAACACTATTTTCTGGTCATGTAACATAAATTACTAATTTATAACTACTCCTTAGATGTTATAAATTAAAAATATACTTCTTGAGAATAAGTGTAATGAACCGTATTACAATTATATTTTTATAAAAATGTAGTAATTTTCTTGATCTAATGAATTAAATATTTCTCGGAACTCATTTTTACAAATTAAAGGATATATTTTCTTTTTGATGAAATAATTTTTTAAATTATTAATCATTGTGCTAAACATTCATTAATTTTAATTAAAAGAAATATGCGTAACGCGTTATACTATTATTACAAGCTACACTCTCTCGCTACATTAAAATTTCAAAATTTTAAGGTATTATGAAAAGTTACGTAGGTATTTTTAAAAGCTGGTCACTAAATTTAAAACTTTAGCTAAAACAATCAGTTGTAAAAACACAACATAAATTATTTTTTTATTTTTAAACATTTGATTAAACTTTGACATCTTAATAAAAAATCCCATAAATAATTTATTATTGTTTATAAAATTATTAACTATATCATAACTATTTTTAGAAATGCAAATTTGATTAAACTAGCATCTTAATAAAAATTCTTGTAAATTACTTTTGTAAACTATAAACTTTATAATAACTATGCAGATACACCAGACTAGAGCAAATTTTAAGATTTTATCACGATTGGATTGTACTAACCTGACCGAACACTCTCCTGCCTTGTAAGTATCCATCTTCGACGACAATAACTCCATCTATGGGATCGGTATGGTCCAAATGATCGATGAAATCCCTCTTGCTCAGATATACCGTGACTTTACCATTAGGTGTTGTCTTCTTGAAAACTTTGACGGCAACCACCATTTGTTGATTGAAATGAAAAAGTTTGGAATGAACTTTGATCGCTGAAGCGGGTTGTAAGCTTGGAGGAAGCACTCAGTTGGTAATGCCACCAGAAGTGGATCTCGGAGGGCAGTTATTCATATTTAAATGTTCCTGTAGGGTTTCTTTTTAAGTGGATTATATGCTAAATTGGATAGAGGAATATAGGATTTCTTGTGTCTACTAATTTGAACGTGGGTAGTCTTTAAAGTTTTGTTTGTTACGTAAAGAAACATGCAGGTTTAATGGATTAATTAAGGATTGGACATTTGATCTGAAAAAATGCGTGTTTTCTTTTTATTGACCAATTAAAATAATATAATAAATGTTTTATATTTTTTATATATCTGTTACTTGCATCATGCCTAAAGAAAGTGGCATGTTTTACAATAATCTAATTACGCCAAATTGCATTAGCACTTTTTGTGATTTTCATAATGATAGAATAGGTGTTAAAATTTTGTTTACAATGCTCGAATTAATTAGGAAATCGACTACCGCGTTTACGATCTTTCGATCCTTATTTTTCAACAAATTTGTTTATTTAATTAATTCAGTAATTGATTATATCTACACATATTGTTGCAGCAAAAAATACATTTTTACGTGTATTCTTGAAAACATCTTCTCCAATCTTCTGGTCGCAGTTTATTTAATTTTTAAAGGCGTTAAACTCGGTAATTTATTCTTTACCCGCGAAAATAAAAACGAGTCATTAAGTGCTAGGTCTGGACGATACGGCGAATGACCCATTATTTCTGATTTTGGCATTCAAATACCCATTTGTTCCAGCAGCCGTGTGAGCCTGATGCAAGATGATACTCTTGGTCATTTTACGCGTACCTTTTGGATAACTTGAGACAAACCAATTATAATGCATTATTCAGACTTAACAGTACGTCTATCCTCTAGTGATCAGTCTGGTATACAGACGGTTTGAAAATGGAAAACAGCACAGGAGCTGAGATCTACCATGTGAATTCAGGGAGGACAATTAGTCTGAACCTGTGGTCACTGACAACAGTCTTCCAGGCTGAAGTAACAGCAATAAATGCCTGCGCCAAAGTCAGGAAGGCCCTTAAAGCACTGAAAAGAGTAGAAGTACAATTTAAATCAATATTTGATTGCCAACAGTCCCTCCAGTCCCTGGCAGAACATAACAAGGTCACCCTTGAATGGGTGCCAGGACATGAGGGAATGTGAAACGTCAAAGCAGACCTCCTAGCAAGGAAGGGCGCGGAAAAAACTCTTATTGCATACCAACATGTTAAATGGATGTTAAAGGAACAAATAAACAGAGAACACCATAGGCTCTGGTTGGAACTTCCTGGACATAGACAGTCCAAAAGATTCATAGAGGGGTCATCCACGAGCAGACAAAATCAACTGCTAAACCTTAGCAGAAGCGAACTCAAGGCCGTAATAGGACTCCTTACGGGACATTGCGGCCTTAGAAGACACCTAAATCTCTTAGGGATATCTGATGACTCCCTATGTAGAATATGTGAAGAGGAGGACGAAACTCCTATTCACATACTATGCCACTGTCGGAACCTTAAATGGGAACGAGAATGGTACTTCGGGGTACAATATCCGGAACCTGAAGAAATCGCGAAAGCGCCCATCAGACATATTCTGGAATTCATCAAGAAAATCAATCTGATGGGATAGAAACTGTGAGGGGTACAATAAGCCTAGAGCTTCAGTACAAGTGGGCTTTGAACCACGCCCTAATTCAGATAGATAGATCCACTAGTGATACAGTAGTTGAAACATGTCCATTAATTCAAAAAAAAATGGCGACCATATTTTTGTATCGGTTCAAAGACCCTAACCAGAGAACGGACTTTCAAATATTTGTGTAAAATAGTGTTAATTGGCTTTCACACCAATCTTTAAAGTTGCTTGAATGTTTTTGACAGTAATGTGTCCTTTTTAATCATGTTCCAAATAAGATAAATATATTTTGTGTAAGGAGCTTGAAAATTGTCACTTGAGGAAAGTTGATCACGTTGAAATTCATTCTGTAACCGCTTTACGTTAGCGAAGGAACAAGACTTGTCACCAAGCACTTGATTGATTTGCTCAAAACATTCTTTGCGGTTTAAGTCACGCTTGAAATTGTATATTTGACATCTGTCTAACTAAACTTGTAAACAACTAGATTGATATGTAAGACAAAATTTGTTGCAAAAATATAATCGCCTACTAGATAGGCTCATTAGAAAGAGAACAACCCTCGTACAAAGACAAAATGTAATATTTTTATACCTTGATTACACTTGGATCTATTAGAATAGATCTCGCTTCGTCAAATAGGTACCTAAATCAGATTCAAAGAGTAATCCGTCAAAAATTCATTTTACTAATTAGTGTGATGATTTTTAAACCTAATCAATGACATTTCTTGGGACAGTAGCATAGCATTTGCGAGCAATTTTTTAGTAGAGAGACACCCGGGGCTTCGAATCCTACAGAAGACCATGTGAATTTATTTGTATGGTTTACAGTAGGATTTAATGGATGTCGACTTAGCAGAAGTTTAGTTTCTGTTGTTATGACATCCAGATTATAAAAATGCCATGCGTTACCGTGTCGATGATTTGGGTTGGGTTTGGTTTTTCCGGGTTTTCCTCACCTGTAAGTCAAATGGCACCATCAATCATCTTTAAGTCGCCCCGGAGCGCCACGCGGCTTCAGGGGTTGAAATTTACTCGTAAAGGGGTGAATTAGAGTAATATTATGTTTATAATTTGAATTATTCTACACGGGTGTTGACAAAGGGATGCAAAGAAAGCATGATGATTTTTTGGCATCTAATAAATAAGGTATTGTTTATTTTTTTCATTTGAATCTTTTCTTTTTGAAGTCAGTATTTTCTTTTCATTTACCACATTAATAAAAGAAACATTTTATTAAATTTTTCCAAAAAATTTGAAAGATACTTGATTTAATTTTCTCAAGTAAACTTAAATTTTTATTTTATGCAGCTTTGAAAATAAAACATTAAAGAATTTAACAAAATAAAATAATTCTAGTACAGTCACAGTTAAAGATGGGCTGTACAGATGCTTTTTTCGTTTTCAATGAGATACAAGATTGTAAAAAAAATATGTGACTGTTTTTAATACCTTTTTTATACACATTTACCCTTGATTTAATGTGTGCATTAATTCGTATTTATGATTAATGAAAATAGTCATTTGAATAGAACATTTTTCAGTATGAGATATGATGAAATTGTTTGATAGACTAAGCGGTTTCAAGAACGCTCATTAAAGTTTATGAGCCCGATACATATTGACAGAGCTTGAAAATGATCTACCTCAATGGCACAATTTACGGTCAAACTTTATGCTCGTAAATTTTACTGTACATTCTTGAAAACGGCTGCTACAATGAATTATCCTATATTAAACAATGAGTTGTAGATGAATTATATGCATATACAAAAAGAGGAACGAACCTTATACTCTGGCTTAAATTCTTCAGCAATCAAGAAAATTTACATTTTAGTGCTGTGAGGAACAAATATTGCGGTGTAAAACTCGATTATTCTCGTACATCTGTGTCATATGTTTCTGTATTTTGAGTATATAATTTATATTATTATGTATATGATTATCGTCAATAGAATTTTAATAAACTTACTAAAACCCTTTCTGTGTTTAATTCCAGTTGCGTTGGCAATTGTTATCTAACTGGTTAATTGAGAATACAAGTTAATTATTATATCTGGAAAACACTAGATAGAAAATGAATATGCAATTATACCTACTCTATTATTTTTACTATATTGACTAACAAAACATCTTTGCTTGCTTATTGCTTACTAACATTTTAACAGGGCTTGACAGGTCTTAGGTCTTCAGATTGTGATCAATAATTCTACTGAAAACGTTTATAGTTAGTGTTTCTAAATAATAAGTATTTCTAAAAATTTAAATATAAGCGAAACTCTGCAATGGGGGAACAATAGGATTTTACATAACTTTAGATAATCTTTAAAAAATACTTTCAAAGTTCTCTGAGAGCAATTAAATGTTGTAAAATTCTTTTAAATGAAGATGAACTGAAATTTTAGTCTACCTAAAATAATGATAACTTTATTAAGTCAATACACGAGATTAGCAGTGTACATTAATGCAGAAAAAAAATCAAAAAGTAATATTACCTATAATATATGAAACATTTAACTTGAAAAAAATTACCAGTAAAATTCATTGTTTTTCTTTGTACAGGGTAGAATTAGATGTATGTACGGTAACTGTAGGTGTGGAAAACTTCGATGATTGGAAATCACCCATTATTAATGTTTAGTCTAGCTATCTCATTACCTAGGTAGAGGTTGTTTCATAGATTTCGTATAAAACTTTCAAATTTGACCGTTTGACCAGCTTAACAAAATTTGACCATTTCTTTTTACCTCAAAAACAACATCCTGCATTGCGACATTGCATTTTCATAGTTGGTACTGCCATTCGTGACTTTTTCAAGTTTGGGCATCTTTAACACGGTTAATTTTTTTTGTTATTTAATACACTAGAATCGCTAATTTTACAGCTTACAGTTTTCGCTATTTCTCAAACTTCTAGAATCCATAGCTACAAAATAAATGCCTATCGTCCTACCGATTGTGTTTTCCGAAGAGTTCACTTCGAAACGGCAAACCTACTGATCACACTCTCCATTTATATGTATTGGGTTACCTGAGCGACACAAACATCCTTTCGATACTTCATTTCCTTATCTTATTTTTCAATGTACACACCTATTTAAAAATTCATTATAAACTAGGTTTTGATAACTCCGAATCTGTAAGATTAAAGTACTGAAAAAAATGCAAACTTAATACATTTGAAAAGTACCTACAAAAAAATGTTTTCTTTTAAAATTTGTATTAGGTACCAAATTCCTTTTCTTAAACGTTTTCTTTCTATGTTTTAAAATATGTATGGTACGTACACGACAAAATAGCTTTAATAACTTTAATTAATTTTTCAACTAAAATTTACTGCGGATTAGGTCTGGTGAGAACCCGTAAAAGGAAAAAAAATTAACTTTCAACAGTGTTGATTAACCCAAAAACCCAAGTTTGACCCCAAATTCAAGAAAAATATGCGATTAACAGAAAACTCCTACATGAAATTCATGTAACAACACAACAAAAGTTTATAAAAAAAAATTATCATAATTTATAACATAAATTTATAAAAAAAAATTTAAGCAAATATTCTAAATTAAAAATAAAAATCACTGAAGAAGGCCGTCTATTTTGAGGCCGAAAGCTATGATCATATATAGTTTAATTACAAATCTTATTCCCAAGAAATCATTAAAAATAGATATTTTTAAATTGTAAAGTTGCCCAATCTTTATTAAACTAATTTTTACAAAAAAATAACACCTCTAAAACGAAATCCGCAAATTTGAAATTTACCCAAGTTATTGTTTCCATGAAATATCTCGCTTATGATAAACAAATTAATTTTTAGATTATTTTTATTGACATTCCAAATTAATGACATTAATGCACTTGCGCATGATGGTAATAATCCCCATACTCCTATTAGAAAATTAGCTGAACAGACTGAGGATTTTGAAGCAAGACAAGTATCATCCTTTTAAATTGCATTTAGTTCAGGCTCCGAGGCCTACTAATTTCGACCGGAGATTGGAACTGGTGTCTCTGATAGGTTCACGTCAATCCCAACTGCTCTAATCAAATACGTTGGAGTGGTGAAAGTCTGCTTGCATAACAACGCTGTTGTGAATACCCATAATGCCCATTATTGGTCGAACGAAAATCCACATACTTTTGAAAGACATTCCTTTGCCAGAACGGAATACAATGATCTGACAAAAAGACGGCTCTCCACACCATAATGCACGTATTGTTGCTGAATATTTAAATCACCTATTTCCAAATAGATGGAGTGGTGCCTACAGATCAATAGCTTGGCCAGCCTAATAATTGTACCTCACCCCACTAGACTTCTTATGGGGCTTGAGAACATACTCTGCGAACGAATTATCGAATAGTGGTGCAAGGACCATTCACTGTCTATCAATCCTAAGAAGACAGAAATGGTCCTTTTCACAAGGAAAAGGATGAAAATGGAAATAAAACCTCCAGAACTCCTAAACACAAAACTAAACTTTGCAACAGAGGTGAAGTACCTAGGTCTCACCTTTGACAGCAAGTTAACATGGAACTCGCATTTAGAAAATAGAATTAAAAGAGCATACATTGCTTATGAACAATGCCGCCGAACCGTGGGGCGCACCTGGGGTTTCTCCCCCAGAGTCGTCGCATGGACTTACACGGCTATCATAAGACCTATGCTAACATACGGTGCAGTTGTCTGGGTACCGAAAACCCAAAAATTAACAGCATGTCTCAACATAACAGGAGCCATGAAAACAACACCGACCAGGACCATGCAAGTCATTTTCAGTCTCACTCCCCTTGATATTTACATCAAGGAGGTTGCTCTGACAATGACACGCCTCCGCACGGTTGGAATAGAACCTGATGTAGGATCTGGTGAGGCGAGACGTCGCTTTTGGCAGGAGGCGCTCGATACGCTCCCACTGCTTCAAGCTAACATGGACTCCATCTCACCGAGATATATCTTCTATAAGCCATACAAAGTTATAATAGAACAAATAGAAGAGGCAGAAGAAACTTTGTTACCATTAAACAAGAGAACTACCTTTAAACTTCTGCTGGATGAATCTGTAAATAACCTCCTCTATGAAGGCCTTAATATTTTTGCAGGAAACTAATGCTGTTTTCATCTTTAAAAAAAAAATCGAAACTCTCTCGATCTCTGAGGACGATTTAAATACGCACAAGAGAACAAATACACTTAATCATAGCACACTGCTCGCGCGGCTTTGCCAGTAATTACTAAACGTCCTTTAATTTTTGTTATTCCTAAATTAATTATTTTTTTTTTACGATAAAATGAAACTTTGACCTTATCGAGCAAAACTGTAGATTTTTCTGAATTCAGCATGCAAAAATGGTAAAAAATCATCTAACAAAACCATGACCCTAGAAATGTCGCAGACCAGTGTACAGAGGGATTCGAATCATCCAAGTCTTCCACACTCCCTATTAACGTAAATATGTACATTTAACCCTGAAACGACCTTTAGAAAAAAATACTTAATTACTAAAAAATTAAATGTAGATTCCAGTATAACAGAATTATTCACTTTTGAGCTATCTATAGTAATTTGTATAACCAATTGCATTTTTTTGGTAGAATTATGTTCACTATCTTCTTCGAAAACACGCTTTTCTAGACACGGGGCTTCAAATAAATGGTTCTTTCTACCGGTTGTTGACTATGATTTTCTTTCCAGCTTAAAGCCTCTGGTGTGGTGGTAGACGATTTGATAGATAATTCTGAAGTGAGACATAATATGGCATGTTGGTACAAATGCGATAGCGTCGGTTACAACGCCATATCCGATGGTATACTTATCGAAAATTCACTTTACAGCATCTTGAAAAAATATTTTAGGAACCATTCGAATTATATTCCTTTGGTCGAGCTCTTTCATGATACTATAATGAGGAGCGCAATGGGAAAGACTTTGGACGGAGAGATTGCAAATGGTGGTTCGCCGGATTTGTCAAAAATGACAATGAAAAATTATACTTTGATCTCGAAATACAAGAATGGATACTGTACCTTACAGTTACCTGTTGAATCGGCAATGTTTTTAGCTAACATGAGTGACCCGGAACAGTATCGGCAGGCTCAGACTATTCTTTTAGAAATGGGTCAATATTTTCAAGTACAGGTAAGTAAATGAATAGAAAAAGTATTAATTGTCCTTATTTTATTATAACATAAATGGAGAAGTTTTATTGCAATAATAGCCACTAAAGTTTTTATATTATATGATTGAATTGACCTAAAAATTACAGAATACAGAAAAAGGTACCTCTTTAGATCATCGTCTAATTTTTTTTATATATTTTTCCCACCTCCTTTGTTCTGTTCTGCTTATATCACTACTACCAGTATCCTGCCATGTTTTCTTGATCTACCTCTTCACTTAACATATATCAATTTATAAACAGCCCATTTCACTATTTTTGCTGTCTTGTGACTACTCATTCATCGCAGCATCTTCATTTCAACAACGTCTCTTCTGTCTGTATCGTTTCTTGACCAGCGAAGATTCCGACAAGGTAGATCCATCAGTTATATAAAACTTTCTCTTTATTTACCCCTTTTCTCTTCACTTTAACCATCCCATTGATTATATCACTCAATGTAATAATTTCCAATACTTTCAGTTGATTAATAATCGATAATCATACGTATGTATTTGACTAATAACTGATAAATCGTACTTGGTACATTTTGAGGGTGTTACAACAAAGAATAAATCACCATTTTTTCCAGTGCGATTTTTGGTTAACTCTTATTTCTGTGTATTAACATACATTACTTCATTATAGCTTAATTCTTTACTATATAATATTACTTTTGTACTGTAACTGTAAATTATTGAGCTGTCATATTTTATTAATTCTTGATGTAATCTATTGAATACAACTTTTGATATCGGGACTATCATAAATTATTAATAAACTAAATGC